AAAATGGCAACATGGATGCCTTATTAAGATTTGAGAGATATGAATGGGGGGTCTATGAATTTAATATTCTGAAATAATGTATCAACTACTTCTATGACTGCTCACCATGATACTGAGCCCCTTCAAGTATTTGTAAAAAAAACAAAACAAAAAAACCTGCAGACCTCTCTCTCTGCATGTATTTCTCCCTTTGCTGTAGGAGAAATTCCTGGATAAGTTCGTAATTTTGTCTGTGGAGCAGGTGTGGGGGAGACATGCCTGTGAGAGAACATCTCTTCATGAGAAAGGTATGATGAAGAGATGAGGTTTGCATTTCCTTTTGAAGCCTATGGTCATCCTCATATCATCCAGGAATGAATTCAAGAATCGCTTGTGAAGGTTCATTTTCCCATACCCATGGGCCTCCTTACCCTGTTAGTTGTAGATTCATGTTGCAGCAGAAGTCCTCTGTCATAAGAAGGGAGGATGTAAGGACAGTACCACGAGAGACTTTGAGATCGTGGACCTGTTCTTGTGATCAACAGTAAGCCATACAACTCTGAAGTGTGCACGAGAGGGACCTGTGTAGCTAAGCTTCTTGGCCGAGCTGGGAGATTTACATAGTGCATTGTTTTTTTTAAAGAATAGAGAAAATGGCAATCTATTAATCTCATGTACTTCCATGGTATTATTACTGTACTGTACTAAGCACCATTTTAATGCATTTATTTTCACAACAATACTGTGAGATAGGGAACTCCTATTATCCCCACTTTATACATGGAGAAATGAGGCACAGAAGGTGAGAATATGTAAATAGAGCATGGACTAGAGCCTGGGTCTGATGAGTTCTATTAGCCAGAACACGTTGACCCCATGCCTTTGTCCTAATCAATAGACACTCTTTTTCCCTGGGGTGGAAATCCCAAACCTAACCCAAATCTTTGTTCAAAATACAGTCTGAAGAACTTTTAAGATGTGGAAAACATGAGTAACATTGTTTTCCATTTTCTAATGTTTCTGCACTTTCAAGTTCTAGATAGTAACAAAATGCCAAAACACCAAGAAAATTGCCTGATCTTGCTAATAGCTCAGGCCCAAGTGTATAAGAAAGAATAGAGGAATGTCACCATGGAAAATAACAGTAAAAAAAGAAAATAACTAACAAGTCCAGAAGAAAATATGATCAGTTTTCAAGCAGCCAATTGTTTGAACCACCATAGTCATTTTTCTGGCTCCTCTACAATTCAAGAATCTCTATTTATGAAGTATAATGTAACCTGGGAATAGCACCATGGATTCTATGAGAAATAAAAACTTTTTTGTTTCCACCACAGGATACAAAGTTTAGCATAAGTAAAAAAAAATAACAAAAAGGCCTAATTCTATAAGCTATTAGTCCCAGTTTTGCCATTCTTTCATGAGTGATCCAGGATAAGTTGTTAAGGTCTTCCATGTCTCATTTTGTCTACCTATAGTTACATTTAATTTTGTCTGAGTAGGGCTTCCTTAATATTTGCAAATCCATGGAGACTTTTGGATGAAAGATACTATATAATGGCAAGTATTATTATACCTTATCTTGACTGAAAAAAATGAGAAGCTGCCCCTATTATAATCTCAATACAGACGTGGCCTGGCTGTAGTCACAAAGTTGCACAGGTCCACCTGTGGCAACCTTCACCCTAGCATCTGAGCAAACAGTATTTAAAAACAGAAATAATTGTCCTTTTCTGTTTCCTTTCTTCCCAGTCTATACAGAAACTGACTAGATCATTTGAGTGCATGTGATGCATGTTTCAACGCAGGGTCACCCAACAGGAGTGGCAGCCTCTGCGTGGCACGTGGTCGATGGGGAATGGGACAGGCGGCACAGTAGCAGATGGGGCAGAGAAAAGAAAACAGAGTAGAAAATCAGGCAAGGAGCACAAGACAGAAAGTAGCAGCAAATTGGGCAGGGGAAAGGGATCAGAGTGGCATTCAGGGAATGTTTAAGGCTAATTCAGGGGACACCTGCCAAAGAGGTTGGCTCCCACTGTTTTAAATAGAGTGAAAGAGTCAGAGAGAAAAAGGAACCGTTCTGAGGAAGTGACGTTCTAAAGCAGCTTTTTGCATTCAGTTCTGAACATGTGAGGTCCATGACTACTTTTACCTCTAGGAGAAGATTTTACAGCTTAGGTCCATCTCCTCTGAAAGTTCTGTCTCTTGTGCTCATCAGTCTTCTGTCTCTGGTTCACTGTTCCAGTGCAAACCGGAGGCTTGGGGTCAGGGTCATAGCAGGAAAAAAGAAAGCCCAGGAAGGGCTTTTACAATCAGGACTGAAACCTCCAATTGGTTTCTGTGTTCACCGAGGAAACTAAGAAGGGAGCAAAGCACTGGAACAATGTTTTCACAATCCCCTGTGTTGCTAAGCAGATGGTTTGCTGGGTTTTATGCTAGCTGGAAGCATTTAAAGGTATGCATCTTCTATTTACAGTGAGTGCCCAGCTGCAAAGCTAGAAATCGGAAATGAGTGAGCTGCCACTCCAAGTGGGCAAAGAATTCAGAGTGCCTATGTAGATGGCAAACATCAAGATGCCGAGTACAAGATCTCCAAAACACTACCACCAGCAGGCCTGTCTGCTGTGGCAGAGAAAGGCATAGAATTTTCACCTGAATTATAACCCAGATTATAGCTGTTGCTATTGAAATAGTTACCTAAATGTGTAAGCATAATTTACACCAAAAAACCCCCACAAAACACCCCCAAAACAAAAAACCAAAACAAAACAAAAAAACCCCCTCCAAACCTCCCAAACTGGTTACTTGGTCTTAAAAACCAAGATTTTCTAACAGTGTAAAAAAATCCTTATGACAATCTTGAGTGCTGTATTTTACAGTTGTAGTAGGTATCTGAGTTAGTTGAGGCACATGATGTTACACATTAAGGATATGCCTGTTGGCCGTTCCAGCAAACACATGAAGTACTGCACAACTATAAAATGTCTGCCCAACTGAGCGGTTTATTTCAGGAATAACTGACCTGTGAGGCTAAAATCATCTCCATTTGGTCCAATTACAATCTGTTATCATTACCTTCAAGCTAAACCACAGGTCTGATCTAACTCAGTCACTAGACTAAGCTATGGTAGAAATATCCAAGCAATGATGAGAAATATCACCAACTCAATACTGTTACTTTTTCCCTAACAGTCAATAGGTATTAAAAACTAGCTAAATGGAGATAAATTTCTACTTCTGGTTTGCAGCTTTTAAAAAGTAACACAAACTCCTGGTTTTTGGAACTAATTGGTAGCACTGAGGTCATCCACAGCCTGTGAAACTTTTTAGCTTACTGAGTCATCACCAATTAAATTTTTAAACTAAGATCCATGTATGTTTATTTTTTTCCTGGCTAATACTAAATATTAAATAAGACAACACCAAAAAGCAAAGAAAATAGATGTGTGTCAAATTAAAGCCTATGTTTTCCCTTTAATCAGATACCTATGGTGCCTGATACACTGTCTAAAGACAAATCTGAAGGCTGTACCCCAGTTATACACTCAATTCCACTAAAGAACCTTACTGGAAGCCAAAGTTCAGACCCCACGCCACTCCTAAATACTTAGGAGAGATGAGATGAGGGGAGACACAACCCACATGAAACCTAGAAACATAAGCCCTGAACAAGCCATATGAGCCCCCAAGATGAAGGATCACAAACTGACTGGATTCCAAGGACACTTTTTAACTCTCTTAGTTGCACTGGAGCTGTTGTGACTACTGTAATTTTTCTGTCTTCCAGCCCCCAAAACCAGACATCCTAAATGCTGTGCTGAAAGTTAAATATCCCACAATCCAGTTTGCCAATTTTGCCAAATAGGAAAAGTCCCTTCCAAAACCCAAAGCTGGCAGCCAGCTAATCTCCCAGGCATTACCGGGGATCAAGCAAATTTGGTATGGTTGGGAGGGATGAGACTGAAACAGGGAGCCCAAAACAGCTACCCCACGTACACAGCAAACCATGTCACCCTTTCTTCCCTCTGCAGACAAGGTGATGGCATCTCCAGCACAAGCAGATATCAATAGCAGAAAGTCTTGTGATCCTCTTCCCACCTCCCCATGTCTTGCAGCACAAGGAAGGTGGGAAGAAAGAAAACAGAAGGAAAAGGAAAAGACAGACATATGGAACACCACCTCAGCAGCTCCCAATAAATTCATCTTGCCATCCCCCGACCCCCAAAACCCTCTATTCTGGGTCATGTGAGTCTGCCTGGTTAGCATGGTGAACTATGGGCATAGCTCAGAGAAATTTGATTATAGCCTTTCAATGATAGTAGTGCAGAGTTGTACCTTTCTGTGAGTCTTGTAAGATATACATGTCTGGACAAACCCTTAAAAACCACTTTATTTCTTCCAGAGCTGAACCTTACTGCACAAGTAATGTATTTGGTTTCTATGGAGTTCTCTGCGGAACAAGGTACTTCAGAACATGTGAAACACTACGGGCTCTTCATTGTTACTGCGGCAAGAGCTGAACTGAACATTTCAGATATAAATACCCAAATTATTGAAAAAATGGAACCCCTGTAATAAGGGGTTTTCTGTTCAAATAAGAAAGCAAATCTCAGTCATTAAACCCAAAGATAATTTAGTCAGGATGGTAAGGGACAGTAGCAAGGCATTTAATAGTTAAGTATTCTGGATGTAATGCATATGTTAGATCCTAGTAATAAATAACAACACTGCGTGCCTAAATGGAAATTTCTCTCCATGGGTCTGAAAGTTCTTTAAAAAGATGGGTACTACATTAGTATCCCCATTTCTAAGGATGGAGATGGGATGTACATAGTATGAGGTGCCAGAAGGTTTAACTCCCAGTTCATCTCCTGTGCTCAGCCAACAAAATTGTTCTTTGAGATAGAGCGAATCAGTTAAATAAAAGTCTAAGAAAAAGATCAAGTGGAGATTTTGCCCAGTTCCATTACTGGCAATCTATTTGAAGGAGTGAACAAACATGTTCTTTTTTTCTTCCAGAAAATGTGTTTATTTATTTAAATAAAAATTGGTGCCAGTAGAAACAATAAACCTTAAATACATGAGACAATTATATACAACTCAGCATTATAAAGTATATACATCATTTTTACTGATACAAATAAATTTATCCCAAAATAAAAGGATGGTGGATAGAGCAATGGAAAATGTGACAACTCGCACATGTCAGTCTCAGTTGGAAAGTTTCAGGATTCAAGTGATTCCAGGCAAAGTGCCAAACTTAATTTGGCTTGTCTCAGACTTAAACAGCTGCTTTGGAGTAAATCTACCAAAAAGCTTTATATGGTCCGATCCAAAGTTCATTTAAATCAGTGGAAAGGCTCCTGCTGACTTGAGTGGATTTTGGACCAGGCCCTTTATGAGCACTGGAGACTTTCTCCAAACATTTTTATCTTTTGCTCTATCAGAAATATAGAGCAATACTTCTGAATACATCACATTATATTAACCCTTCAAACTAGAAATAGAGTTCCTATTCCTAACTGGCAGACATATAAAGGGCTTTTGCATCAGTTAATTTCTGCGTTCAGTGTTCATATTTTTCAAGTTGTCTCTCAAGCTCTAAGGTCAGTAGATAAATTATAGAGCTATTTTAACACAGGAAATATGTAGAGACATTTTGCAAACACTTTCCTGCTCAATGCTTCAGAATGCAGTTCTTTTGCTCTCATGGCTACAAACAAATCCAAACATCATAATAAGTTATAATAAAATATAATCCATAACTGAAACAATCATCCTTTGATACAATAGTAACCTTTGCTTATTTAGAGAAGTGCAGAAATTTAGAAACCAGTGTTTGGCACTTGGAAAACCACAGTTCTATTGAATAAGGAAAAATTATTGTAATAGTGCTTTTTAACAACTATTGGTCATCACAATAGGGAAATGCATGTGCCATACGCAACATGCAGTAGACAAAAGAAGTGACTTGATGCCTATGTCGAGCAGAAGGGCTAAATACTCTTAGGTGTAAATGGATGCAGCTTTATTGATTTTGAAGTAAGAATTTAGCTCTAAAAAGGTAACTGGAAATTCTATCCTTGTAAACAATAGGAGCTTTGCTGAGGAGCCAGTATTACACCTTAATAAGTCCAGTTCTATACTGTTTCACCCACGAAATGCCATTGATTTCAAGAGAGCGTAGCAAAGCAGAATTTATTCCAGCATTTCTAATCCTTACAGTTTGTAGCAAAGCTTCTTTTATATTACTAAATATACCTTTCTAATTGGTTACTCACAGGGGAAATTTACAAAGCGATCAGAGGTGTGACCGCAGTGCGGGTTGGCATACCTGAATGGGTTGGCATAGGTAACAGCAGAAGCAAAGATGAAGTGGCATGGATTTGAACATCAGCTTGGGACCCTCAGTACATACTCAGTTTATGTAGGCTCTGTCATATCCATGCCACTGGGTCTTTGTTTCTATGGTTACTGCTATTAACTAAATTAAAACTAGCTTGGGTGTGCCTATCCTTGCTGCTGAGACATATTCTCAGTCTCTGAAGCCTCCTCAAGTAAAATTTCAGTTGTCTGTGGTGTTACAAAACACACTCAGCAAAAGTAGAATCCCAGATCTATGAGAGTGGACATTAACCTTGCTGATTCACAACACGTAGGCAACTTCTCTCAATTTTTCCCAGACACTTGCAGAATTTTGAAATAGGCAGCAGATAGGGTGTGATAGTTACCTGGTAAGAAAAAAAGTTATTCTCCATGTTTTAGCTCTTACAGTAAAAATCTGAGGCATTAAAATTAAGCATTAGAGTCGCCTGTATTTTGTTGGTTCCATTTTGAGTTGTGTGTCTCTGGGTTCTCATCTTCTCAGCTTTCAAAAATGTGTCAGCCTCTGGAGCACTGATGTCTGCTAAGAGTTCATCCAAGGTGGCACTTGAACAGGAAAGAAGAACCTTAAGTTCCCAACATGAATTCCACTCAGTAATGCTATGTTATTACTAAGCTAGCTTGTGTAACTGCCTCTCAAAGGTCTGCAGGTGCTAGGAATTTCTGTGGATAGTTTCTGAAGACCCTTCGCTGCTCTCATTCAGAAGGGATTCTGTCACTTCCCCTAGTTCAGCATCTGGCACCTCCTCTTGAATGGTGAAATGAATATCTGGTGAGGAAGACTCAGAACTCACACTGCTGCCTTCCATTGAGCAGATAGCACAGGACAGAGATGGTACCATACTTTCGTGCAGCATGTTTAACATCGTGGGTATCTGCATAGACCTCAGTCCAGATATGGTTGGCAGAGGTTTCATGGCTGCTCCCCACTCCCTTTCCTCATCTTTGTAAAGCAGAAACAGATTGGATTTCTTCTCTTTTCTCTTAGATTTCATGTAGCCCAACATTATTCCCATTAAGAAGATCCCATAGAAAGACATGACAATCAGAATATAAAAGTACTCATTGCCATTACTGCTGTTCTTCCCTGGACTCTGGGATCCAACAGAAATCATGGATTGGGTTATGTTTGTATGATCCATCTCCAACATAGATGCTGTTTTGCCAAAATTTAAGCCTAGAAGAGAATACATGCATTAGATCTTTCAATTACAGACAAACATTTTTAATGCCTGAATTAAAACCCACAGACCCTTCTTTGTCACTTGCACTGTCCTATCTTTTAAATGCTAGAGAACCAAACAGATTGAAACTTGCATATTCTGGATCACTTTCAACAATAATATTTTAGTCTAATGAAATCTAATTTAAATACAAACAGAGAGCATTAAATAAAAGCACAGTATATTAAATACAATTCCAAAATATGACAAAAGGGCAGATCTGCATGATTAGGGAGGAAAGAAAACTAGGTGGAAAATACTCTGTCAGTCACATTTATATAATTGAAATTAGGCTTAGAATTAGAAATGTTATTGCATTGAGTGGTAAGGAGGGAGAAGAGAGATACAAGCAACTTACGCAAATAGTTGTTCACTTTTCAAAGCTCAAGAGACCTTTTCTCTACCAAATGCCGGGTATTCTGAAAACTTTGCTCTGCTGCAAGCAGAATAAATAGCTCTCAAGAAACATATCATCACGTGTCCTAGGCACAGTTTATAATAGTTTTGTGTTGGAGTCAACAGATGAACTCAAGGCACTGCAGTTCAGCCCACTGGACTCTTGACAGCTGTGAAAAGAAAAAGGGTTGGGAATCCAGTTACTCTTTCCTAACCAGAAACTGCCAGATTGCTCAGTCTACAATCTGTCCCTTCCACTTGCCTCTCAAATGTTATATGCAAACAGATATATTGAGAGCACTTGAACATAGCCTGCTAATTATTTATTCACCTCTGTCCTGCACTGTAGAAAAATACCTTCTTGGTTTTCTAGCACACCCTGAAAAACCCCTGCCAGAGCCATGTGCACAGTTACTGCTTTCCCCAAACACTGTGTGGACTAAAGTCTCTAATTGTCAGAGCCTTGTGCAGCCAAATTGTGAGAAAATGAGAACAAAATGCTTCTAAATTAACACTGGCAATCTATACCCATAATGTTCCAGTGTGCACAAGGGCACTCAAGAATCAGGCCCCGAATTTTGAATGGCCTTTTCATGGCCTAAATGGTAGTTTTCAGTAGGACCATTGAGCTTATATTAATTTGATACTTTAGGGTGCTATTCACCTTGATAGTAACACCTAGTGAAAGGCCCTCCATACAAAATAGCTAGACTGCACAGTTTATAATAGTTTTGTGTTGGAGTCAACAGATGAACTCAAGGCACTGCAGTTCAGCCCACTGGACTCTTGACAGCTGTGAAAAAAAAAAGGGTTGGGAATCCAGTTACTCTTTCCTAACCAGAAACTGCCAGCTTCTGTGATTTCCTATCCAGGACATGCTGCAAAGAAATCTCTATACTAGCTCCTGCATGCAGAGTTTAGGGCAGGGTCATGGGTGGAGCCACAGCATCTGTTAGATTAACCCCATATCTCCCTCAAGTGGCTCATAGGCTAGTGAGGGGAAGGCCTGAACAGCATCTTGGGATTTCATTCCCCATTTCTCCCCACCCCCACACTTCGCACAGAGAGCCCAGTTAGTCAGGCCCATGTACGTGACATGAACATCCCCCTTGCTGAACAGATTCAAGGATGTTTATATGACAGGATACTTCAGCTCCAGGAAACATTTCACTGGTGCTTGTTGTTCTCCATTGCAGGTTCTGACCCTTTCACAGTAGGTTGTTAACTCTTTGTATCATCTCCAAATGTTTTACAGAACCATGTCCTCACAGCATGAGAGACTTGGAAATAAGATTGCATCCTGCTCTACATGTGGGTAAAACAAAGCAAAGAGAAGGTAAGTGGTTGAGCAATAAATTCATGACTATCAGCTGGAAGACCAGATCAGGACATTTTCAATTCTGCTGTTCCCTATTTCTAAAAGGCTCACCGACAGGCAGGCAGACTTCAATAGCAGGATTCCCTTCCTCATCCCTCGAAACTGAGGATCTGCTCTCTAGGATGTTGATTTTAGCCTCTCCTCACACATTCCCATATGACAGCTCAGGAGTTGTTGACATTGGACTAACGTCTGTTGGGATTTCATTTGACAAAATCTGTCTGTAACACCAGCTTGCCAAGTCTGGATTTTTCCTCCCCATTCCCTACAGATTACTGAACAGGCAGCAATATTAACCATTAAGTTTATGCATAACTTAGTGCAAGACTCCCAGTTGCCTAGCCACCTTTGGAAATTTTTCTTCCTCTTAGCTCCATGCTGTAGCCAGTCCCTAGATGATATTCTGCCACTGCACGCCCTCCACTTGGTAGCAGAAATTTGGAATTTAGAGCATTAAAGCTCATGGATCTAATTTTCTCCCTCAGATGAGAATATGAGACTTCCATAGAAGTAAACAGGAGACACACTGGTGCTTACCAGCATAGAATTTGACCTGGCACAATGCATGTAGCAGGGTGACATTTCCTTCTCATGCCCACAAGACTCAGCAAAATAGACCTTCAGGGAACCAGGTGGGGGACAGAAGAGACAAGGAGAGATCTTCTGCAATTGCTGTTCTAGTCCCATAGCTGGAACAGGGCACCCCTGATGCAGGAAACTTTTCCAATCTAGACACTCATGGCCACTTATTCTGTATCAGGGGTGTCACACATACCGCTTGCAGACCAGATTTGATCCAGCTGTGGAATCCAGCCATCGGACTGACCTCATGCACTGAATTTGGAATCCAGAGCTGGTCTAGTGTGCAGGCTGGACCCAGTGCCACGGGCACTGCACATAGCCCAGGGGGCTGGCGTGGGGCACGTGGTACATTTGGCTCTGGTGCACATGGATGACCTGGGGTCTGATCCAGACCAGCCCCTGCAGCCAGCAGGCAGGGTCATCTGGCAGGGTGCTCAATGCAGCATGTGCCCCATGCTGGCCCCTAGGGCCATGTGCAGTACCACAGTACTGGGTTCAGCTCATGCGCTGCCTGTAGTACCAGCCCCAGAGGAGCACAGGGGCTGGCACGGGCATGAAATGCATTCAGGACCCCAGCAGACTGGCCATACACACTGGCTTTGGCACAGCCTGTGGAGCCAAATGAGTTTGACACCCCTGTTCTATATGATTAATGTGATTGTGGAGTCCCACTGACCATTCTCCAACCTTTCCCCCTGGTACCTAACTTCTGTCCCCTGCTAATTGACATGCCAGAGTCTGGTTCTACTGTGTAGGGAGTAGAGTTCCCCCTTTCACCTACTCTACAGCCTTGCACTCCCCATGTGCTAAAGCTGTATGCAAACTAGCATAGAAATATACGTGCAGCTAGACAGAGCACAAGGAAACTGCAGCTGCCACATCCTATACATCTATGCAGTTCCCTGAACTGAATTGCAAAATGAGCTGAAGTCTGGCTAGTTCTCAAAAACCATTGTAATTATGGTTAATCAGGCTGGCTACTGTCTGCAGGACTTTCCCACTTGTCACCACATGTGACCCCAGATAAGAAATATACTTGGAAAAGGACTGGGGGGGTGGCGGGGAGGAAGAACATTATTGAAGATGTGCAGAGGGATGAGGAGACACTAAAAAGCCTGAGGGTATGAATGTGCAGAATTTCCCATAACAGTAATTCTGGTTCCCACACACCCCCAGTGTTACACATTAGCTATGCTCATATACTTCTTTCATGAGAAGGATGATTTTACTCCCAGCCTGGTCTTGTGCAGAAATTTCACTCTGCCCCCATCCCCAAGGTTGCTCAAGTCACAAAACAAAAGAAGAGGATGAGCCAGCCAAGTCAGCCAATTATAACACTTTGAAGAGGTCATGGAATTGCTGCCATTCCCAGACAAGCTGCTCAAGACCCTCCCCTCCCGGTGAGTCTGTGGCGACAATACATAACATGAATAGGAAGTGCACAACTTCAGGGACAATAACACCATTTTGTTCACCCACTTCATCCAGCCACAAACAGTCATTCAGGATCACAGCATCCCTACGCATTGGAAATGATCTGATGGCAAAGGATATAACAAGGCACAGGAGATGGTGCAGCATGAACCTATTCTCAAAATAAAGATTAGGAGAGGAAAGGGAAATGGAACAAACACAGAAACCATTATCAGAACAACATGAACTATCCCCAGAGAGTCTGCAAGTTGCTGCAGGCTCACATGGAAAATACAGACTTAACCCTTTGTGGGCATTAAGCCCTGCTCCTAGTGCTGAGTTTATCTGCCAGTTTTAACCTAGGAGTCAGGAAGGTTCTTGGCATAATTATTAAGAATTTGATCCAAGAAGATGCTGAGAATGTTCCAAGTCCCATTTGTTACATAGAAAGAACTCTGATGCCTTTCTTCTCTGAAGCAACCATGTTACAATTGAGATGAAAGTAATGGAAGAGAAATAAGAAGCACTAGGAGAGGTTAGAGGGGGGGTGAAGTGAAGTAGAGTTGAGTTTTAAGTGGAAAAATTGATGGCAAATCTAAAGCTGAAAGAGTAACAGGAGATTCTCTTTGTACAGGTATTGACTGAGCAGTAGCTCAGAATAGGTGGACATGACAGCTGGGAAGAATTAGTATTTTTAGTTTACACCAAATTTCACACCAGCAACAATCAGAACCATAGAATAGTCGGGTTGGAAGGGACCTCAGCAGGTCATCTAGTCCTACTTCTGCTCAAGGCAGGATCACCCCTGACTAAACCAACCAATTCAATTATTTGTCTAACCTGGTCTTAAAATTTTCCAAGGATTGGGATTCCACAATCTCTCTGTGTAGCCTGTTCCAATGCTTGCCCAGCTTCTTAGTAAGAAAGTTTTTCCTAACTGTGGATCGTGACTTGGATCTGGCACCTGAAAGAGGGAGGCAAAAGGACAAGAGATGTTTGTGTGCTTGGTTTTGATAGTTCTCTTACTTTAAAATGCCTGCAGTGACACTTGGTCTCATTAAGAAACCTAAGCCTCTCAAAAAGCCTGATCCAAAGCTCATGGAAGTCAGTTTCCATTAACTTCAATGGGTTTGGATCAGATCGAAAGAGAAGGTTAGGGCAGGAATGGCTGTGAGTTCCTTCCAAGTTCAATACTACTCAAAATCAACCATGCTTGAAGCTTGTGAGTTGAAAAGAGCAATCTGAAACTTGAGACCTTGATTGTAAAATAGTCCTTTTTGAGCTAGTAGTTGGAATAAAGCGGTAGTCTGGCAGTCTCCTGAGTCCTATCCCTATTTGTTACTGGTTTGCCTAGAACACCGAATCTCAATCAGGGTGTCATGATATAAGAGTGCCACAGGCTGCCACAAAATATTAGCATTATTAGATGTACAAACAGAACACCTACACATGAGCCACAAGATAAGCCCAGGGATTTCAAATAGAAATTTGAAACTCTAGTGCCAAAAACATTCTTACCTGTTTTTGAACTCAGGTCTTCCTGAGTTCTTTGCAACAGAAAAATTGCTCTATTATTTTTCCATAGTCAAGAAATAAGTGAAAGCTAGGAGCTGGGATTTTCCATGGGGTGCTTTGAGTCTAAAAAGGTGTAAAATGAGTCTGAAAAGGTTTTGAGAACCATTGATCTAGAACTATGAAATGAAATTGAGTTTCAAATTT